TAGAAAATTTTTAACTGAAAATATACGGCCCAATTTGCGCGAAGTATTTTTGCATTTGGAATGTGGTAAAAACGTTGTCAATACTGCCTCATGATCAGAGAAACCTGAGTGAAGGACTCTACAGTCAACGAATTCCGGGTCAAAAGACGACACGACATAATCTATAGTGCTAGAGCCAGTTTTAGTTATTCTAGTTGGTGAGTCAACATGCATTAGTATACCAAAAGAATGAAAAATGGACTGGAGAGACTCTCTAGCTGCACACACACTGGAAAAGTCAATATTTAGATCGCCACACAAAATCAATTTACTTTTTATAGGTAGGGATTCAAGCAAGCTTGGCAATTTTTGACTGAAAATATGCACGTCAGCGTCAGGTGTTCTGTAAATACAAATAATATAAAGGTCAAAAGCATTATAATAACCGACGGAAAATTCAAAAAAATTTTCGGATATTAGAGTATCGAACTTAGTTACCACCGTAAAGTCGTTGTTAGTAGACATTATCATAGTACCTCCATGAGATGAGTTACTTCTATTGAATCTAGTTACTGTGGTGTAATTTTTGACAAATACAGGCTCATCCATATTTAACCAATGTTCAGTTATGGCAACAATTTCTGGAAAATTGAGCTCTTCTAATAAAAGATATAATTCATCCGTTTTATGTCTTAAGGACTGAATATTAATTAAAAAACACTAAGCTTGCTATCGTTTAGTTTTTCAGAGGTTGCTTGATCCTCTGTTCGCGTCATTTCACCTAAAAAAATTATTTTTATTTTTATTTGGAGAGCCATTGGAGAAATACTTGGTATGACTTTCCTAATTCTCTGAAGCTGTTGAAGTTTTTCCGTTGAAAAGAAGGACCTGAAGGCAGAAAGATCCGCATCCACTTCAGCTGAGTCAATACCATATACGTTGTGGAAGCGATAATATATCCTACGCAGGGAATCCGCGTCACTAGGATGTCCCTCTGAGGCCATATAATTTGATGCTGGTGTTGGTGTACCCTTCAAAACACATACTTGAGGGTTGATCGTGGAGATAGGCGAGGAATAACCGAATAGGTTTTAATATGGAAGGGTCCCTCAGTCTAGCTAGCAAACGCCCACCTGCCTCATCCGAATTTTGCGTCATCCGAACTACAGGCGGAGTCAACGGGTCCACATGTAGCCCGCCATCCTTCCTCGCACCTTCTTCCACAACCATTTCCACATTTTTCAGCCCAAGAGACTTACAAGCAGCAATAGCCTCCTTGTCAGAAGAAATCTTAACAGATTTGACCTCCCCCGGTATATTTACGGATGTCGAGTCTGAGCAAGGTGGTAGACTTCGACTAATTTAAAATGGATAATACAATTTACTTAAAAGGCATAAAATGCAGATAAATTTAATATGAAAACCACAGGTTGGTTTAAAATAAACGGTAAGCCAATTGCGCAAAAACCAACATTTAGGTACATGTAATGTGTGTTTCACAAATAGCTCGATTGAAATAATTAAGGACAAATTGGTGAAATCAATAATTCGGTCAGTCGTAAAAATTAATATTATGCCAGGATAAATCTATATACTTTTTTATCTGCCAAGTCGGGCACAGCTGTACTATCCTTTTCTCTACTAGTAGTGGATAAAGCAAGAATCTTAATTTTTAGCGATCAAAAGGGGACATACTATAACTGGATAGATATTATAGACTACCAACATACCTGATGGTTACATCTTATAGTTTATGAAGTATCGCTAGTCAAAATTATTTAATTTCGATAGTGACTGACTCACTCGCCGATCATAGAAAAATTCTAAAGGTGTGCCATTGAAGAAACAAGGAAAGCGTAGGGCAGATCGTTGATACGCGTTTATGCACGTTTCCACATCCACACTAAACGCAACTGTAACGTTGCAAAATATCGGGACGCAATTACATCTTATACTTTATGAAGTATCGCTAGTCAAAATTATTTAATTTCGATAGTGACTGACTCACTCGCCGATCATAGAAAAATTCTAAAGGTGCGTCCAGACCAGCCGCGCCGCTCAGCGCGAAGCAGTGTTGTGCCATTGAAGGAACAAGGAAAGCGTAGGGCAGATCGTTGATACGCGTTTATGCACGTTTCCACATCCACACTAAACGCAACTGTAACTTGTAATATTTTAATTCAGTGAGGTAAAAAATTGTCAGTGATGATATTGTCAAGTCAATATTACTTCTGCCGCGAAACCGTCTCATTACATACTCAAAATGTTTTCTAGCAAACTCTTACTTAGCAAAGTACTATTGAGCCAAAATATTTGTTTTTTTTTTGCTTGTTTGTGTATGTCAGTCACTTTGAATAATTCATTTTCAGGAAAATATGTTACTATTATCCCTGCCATCTATACTCATTACAACAAATTAAACTAAAATTCAAGTTTTCTTCTTAATTTCCTAAACAGACATATCAAATTTTAATAATTGTTACTTTTTGTCATGACAACTGATATAGCGTAATTGTAAAAACTTGTAAAATTGGCAACTATGATATTATAGCAAAAATTGGAATAAATCGCAAACTATTAGAAATAGGTATCTGACATACCTAATAAAAGTTGAAGAGGCACACACTATCAGAAAACATTATAATATATAGGGTGTACCATTTAAAAAAATGAGTTTTTTTTTATTTTAAGTAGTTGAAATTCATAAATATATTTTGAACACCCTGTATCATCTAACTAAAATATCTATACATATATCTTTTTCTTCATCTGTATAAAACTCTCCTACCAAATTTCCAACCACCAAGTCCAACTTCAGAAACAATAGCATTACTAACAATTTTTTACCACACTGAAATATAATATTTGCTTGAGGAGTAATTTCGGTGGTGCTGCTCGAGCTGCGCGACTAGAGACGCTGGCCGCGGCAGCTGTAGCCGCGATGAAAAGATGTTTTCGGTGACGCAGTTCTAGGCAGCCGTTGACTGCGGACTGTAGCATTTTTGTCATTTTAAATTTCTCGGGGTTTATTAAAAAATATGGATTACGACCAGTGACGCATACAGAGGGGGGCTCACGGGGCCCGGGCCCCCCCTAAAATCTGTAAATTGTGTAAAATATTAGGCTTTTGGGTTAAAAATGGCGCCTTCAGCGTAATAAAAAGCATATTCTACATTGCTTTTTATTTTGCCCCCCCCCCCTCCTAAAATAAATTCCTGTATCCGCCCCTGATTACGACGATTTGATAACATTAATTTTATTAGAAGAAGAGGAAGATGAAGAAAAATTTTACCAAATGTTATCTAGAAAAAAGTGTAAAATAGATGAAATGTTTAAAAGGCGACGCGATGAAGAGTATTTTCATTTATTAATAAATAATCATCTAAAAGAAAATGAAACCTTCTTTTTTTAATTCTTTATCGACCTTTTTCCAACAATTTTCTTTAATAACAAAATTTTTGTCTTCATAATCATAAATCACGGGATATTTTTGTATTTCGTTGATTAAAATTTTATCGTCATTTGACGTAAATGACGCCATTTTTTGCCCTGGTCAACTACGATTTCAGCCGCTCGACTGCTTTGCGAGCAGTCGAACAGCAGCCGCTGCAGCGCGGGCTGCCGCCGCTTTAGTCGCGCTGCGCAAGCCAAATTGGTTCCATTTGAAACTGTACAAACCTTAGATTAAGAATAAAGTACAAACCAGTGCAGCGGCTGGAGACGCAGCTGCTAGCCGCCGCAGCCAGCCGCGGCACCGAAATCGCACCTTTAGGTCAAATTTTACAAAAACTATTAATTTTAGACATATAACATTATATACATATAAAAAAGTTACAGAATTTTACGCAGAAATTAAAAATAAAATAAAAAATAGAGTGTTGCATTAAAATGAACATAATATACCGGGTGGTGCATCTCGTCGTTGGAAATTGGAAACATAGGAAATCCCATGCAAATTTCGAACTTTCCAAATATTGGCTCCCCTGTTGATTTTACAACGAAGTCGTAAATAAGTTTTTTAAAGGTCTACGTATGCTGAATACACATGCCAAATTTGAACAATTTTGGACAAGGCGGTTTTAAGTAATTTAAGAAAAAGCGCATCTATTTTTAAATTAAAACTGAACAGGTAACAATGCATAACCAGTCAAAATGTCAACTTACATTAAGTTGTCAACCTATGATTTTATCATTGTCAAATATAATTGGTTGTATATACTGTCTACACTACTACTTTATAGTACCTACGATTAGTGTCCCCAAAATGTATTGTAGTAATTTAAATCTGGTTCGAATGAGGCAAAAGCCCAACATTAAGAAAATACAATTTGACATTGACAAAATTATAGGATGACAACTTAAGCTACATTGGCATTTGCCTGGTTTTTTATTGTTACCTATTCAATTTTAATTTAAAAATAGATGCAGTTTTTCTTAAATTACTTAAAACCGCCTTGTCCAAAATTGTTCAAATTTGGCATATGTATTCAGCATACGCAGTATGTAAAATTAACAGGGGAGCCAATATCGAGGCAATTCAAAATTTGCATGGGATTTCCTGTTCCCAACGGCGATGCACCACCCGGTATGTTATATTCGCAACACTTTTTTAAAGCACCCGGTATACTATAATAAATTTAAAATGTGTATCATAAACTCCCTATAAATTTTATATTTAATATTTATTATAAACTTGGAAACAAATGAGATAAAATGGACTTTACTCTCTCGTTGACTTACCCTGTGCCCTGTACTGCGTTACAAGACATCAATAATAGAAAATTAATTGCTAATCTAGTGTTGTCGAGAATTTTTTTTTTAAACTGACATTTTTATAAAAAATTAATGTCAAAGTAACAATTTCGACATAAACTCAGTAATCTTGTGCAATCTAAAGTCAGAATACCCACCAAATTCTCAGTTTTCAACCATAAAAGGTGCGATATTATCATTAAATTCAAATAAAAACATTCTAATTATTGATAGCAGAATAAAACGGTAATTAAAATTTTCGATTTTAGAAAATTATGGTTGCACAACGTACTGCACAGCCTAAGGAACCAGCTAGTGCCGGCGCTAACAGCTTTCTTGGTTAACAGCGTGGCGCGACCCCTGGCCCCCCTTCAAGCCATTCCGCTCAGCTTTCCGGTGAGGCTGGAATATATCCGAGCTAGGCGACGATCCAGAGCGCAGCTGGCTCTAATGAATGTACCCGAGACTGACCGAATTGAGGAGTGCCAGGATGCGGAGACGAGTGACAACGACCGGCCGGAGAAATGCGTCAATTGCACAATACTGCACCAGCCCGAGGGTGAACCATCCGCGGATATAATTTTTGTACACGGATTACACGGAGGTAAGACACTAATATTAGGCATTTTCTGACTAAGTTCCGACCGAGATCTCGGTTTCGGTTACAATCATTCTCGGCTAAAAATCAGGCCGAGATCTCGTTCTCGGCATAAAAAGGCCGAGATTGTCGGCCACGGCCGAGACTGCTCGCGATCGTCAAATTAGTTTATTTTTGAGCGTATCGTCCCACCTATCGATTCGTGGATGAATGAAATAGTTGTCCGAAGTCGAAAAAAAAAAAGAATGGATCATATCTGATCCATATATGATCTGATCAAATCACAAAGGGGATTTCCCGCACGCATTTTTCCGTTTCCTATACGGCTAGCGCAACCGATTGCGTTAATCGCATAGGAAACGGACTTGAGACCTGCAACTCCGTTTACTAAGTGGTCATCAATGCAAAGAAATGCAAAGAAGCGCTTGTCAACCAATGCAAAGAAGCGCTTGCAATGAACTTTCTAGGTATGCTCTATTTGTAGTCACTTAGGACACAGAAAATGGGACACTCAATATTGCTTGTAACCACTACACTATAACAAAACTCTAAGAATTAAAATTTAAACAATTTAATTTGACAATTAATCAAATAAATAAAGTTACAAAAATATTATTCCAACAATGAAAATCATAATAATTCCATTCATTGATTTATATAGGGTGGATTGCGATAATTGTAATACCATGTACGTATAGGTCAAACAGGTAGAAATTTAGATATAAGGATTAAAAAACATATAAAATCTATTAATAATCTCTAGCAAAGTTCCGGTCTAGCAATTCATTGTATATTAAATAGTCACACAGTTAATGAAAACTCAATTATGTTAATAGATAGAGAAAAAAAGGGAGACGCTTAAATTACCTAGAATAGTAAGAAATATTAAAATCAGCTAAAAACGACAATAATGTAAACGACCAACAAAGGATTTCTAAACACATTTTTTATTACCTCTATTGTAAACTCCTTAAATCCAACATCATACCAAATATATTATATACCCTTAAAATGTAGTCAGACGGTTGGTTTTTAAAGAACTCTTAAAAATGCCTAAGTTACTCTTTTTAATTTTTTTTATACATCTAAAAGCGTGTTTTATTAAAATTCTAATATTTCAACGATGTTTCACAAGGCACCAACCACCGACTAAGCACTATTTATTAAAAAAAACAGATTGACATATCCACCACGTCTTAAAGATGTGTTGCCGAACTGCCTTGCCAATATTAGCATATAAAACTTTAAAAGTTACCTATTAGATTTATCTCTCAATTATGTTGCTTTTTTTTGGAACCCAGAATAAAAATACCTCATTATTAATTTAAATTTATTAAATTTAACACCTATGTAGGTCCACCTGTCATAGTAATAATATTATGATTTATTATAATATCATTTGCACTGGTTGCGTTAAACACTTAGTAAACGGAGTTGCAGGTCTCGAGTCTGTTTCCTATACGATTGATACATGATCCAGTACAATAGAGTATACATATGTGGACCCGACTTAATACTGATACGACGATACAAGGTGATTTTTGTTGTACCGTCCACATACACTGATACGCACGCTTGTACGTGATACATATGAATTTTATAAGTATGGACGCTTACTTTGGCACGATATGCATATTCACTCGACACAGCCCAAATAAACGTCCATATTTACGATACCAAGCTCTTGATACGTGATACATGATCCTGATACAATAGAGTGCTACATATGTGGACCCGACTTAAAACTTTAAAAGTTACCTATTAGATTTATCTCTCAATTATGTTGCTTTTTTTTGGAACCCAGAATAAAAATACCTCATTATTAATTTAAATTTATTAAATTTAACACCTATGTAGGTCCACCTGTCTTAGTAATAATATTATGATTTATTATAATATCATTTGCATTGGTTGCGTTAAACACTTAGTAAACGGAGTTGCAGGTCTCGAGTCCGTTTCCTATACGATTAACGCAATCGGTTGCGCTAGACGTATAGGAAACGGAAAAATGCTTCCCGGACGGCTGAAGGTTCGCCTTCGTATTTCGATCCGTAAACAATGAACGAAATGTTAGAAGCTAGTGTCTTAATCTAATGTAAGTTTTATAAATTATTTTAAAATAATGCTAATACAAAAGTTATAAGTAATAATGAATTGCTTCTTGTTAAAATATTTTTAATTATACGGGGTGTGTCAGAAAAGTGCTAAAGACCAAACTTCAGTTTTTTTAAAGAAAACACCCTATATATTTTTTAAGATTTCAATTCCTGGTACTTTTTCCAGCATTTTGATATAGGGGTGAATGGTTTATACCATGTGTATCAAAAGTTACAGACATTTTTATTTTTGAAGCTCTATACCATTTACAGTCCTAAAATAATATTTTGTTTTACTGCGTCAGGATATTGCAAGATGGTATTTTGTCATTTTATTTGTTGAATTTACAAGTGAATATTACAACTTAAAACAATGTTGATAATGATATTGTGTTACTTGGGTAACTTTGGGTAATGTATTTACTGGTCTACAAAATGTTATCTTTATCACGGCTTCCTCTGGAGATAATGGTCGCATCTCGTTGTTTAACCTTTCTAAATTTTTTATTTATGCCAACTCTTCCGGACTAGAAATCGTAGCTCTTTTGATGGCAGAAGCAACATTTCCCTTTTCTTTTTTTGTATATCCAGTCTGAGTAGCAAACGCAAGTTCAGCAGGACTACATTGAGAAACCAATTTTTGTGTACGTCTTCTCTTAGTTCTAGTACTAACAGTACTAAATTCTCTTGAGTTCATTCGCGAAGGCGTTTTTGTATATTGCTGAAAGGTGCTTGGGCACTTAGATTTATAAACATATTCGTTAAGCCAAATTACATGTTTCTTTAAAAAGTCTTTCTTATTTCGATAGCACCTTTTCCAACGTAAAGCAATTTGAGTTGAAAACCATATGATATTTTGTTGGTTAGGTCATCATCGTCAGCAGTAGGGATGCGTTGTTTGACAAAGTCGGCCATCTTTTTTCTCACAACTAAAGAAGTGGCACTTCCCATCCAGCCATTTTCATTCAAAAGCTCACATAAGTGTTTTCGACTCACGCCCGAAACTGTACATAATAGGAAAAAAATAAAAATTTCACAAGACTGCACCTATCTGCTGCCCAGTATATTGTTACACGATAGGTAGATATACTAGCTTTAAAATAAATTGAGTTGTGACGGTGAAGAAAAGGGTCGTTTTTTTTTCTGAGCCTTCCATTCTTTAAACTTTAATAAAATTGTAAATACTTCTTTGACAACTAATTATATCAAAATTCGTGTTTCGAAATAAGTAACTAAACTTACCTAACAAATGAGCAGACATGTCTGAATTAAAAAACAAACCACGATATTCTAATCTCAACACAACTACCAAAACGAACTTCAAGATACTCGAGAACAAATTCTATATAAATGAACATTTATGTTTTTGTTTACTTTGTCCTTGTTTGCCAGCTTTTCAAATTGATAATGAATTGCATTTAAGAACCGTACATATTAACTAACGGACTACAAGGAAAAGATTAAATGAAGCAAATCTTATGTCAAGAAGGCCTGCTTCGAGACCAGAACTTACTAGATGTGTTGAATAGGCCCAAAAGCAAAGGCATGGTCTTAATGTAAAAATTACGAAAAATGTTAGTGATTTCTTTAAAACCAGATATTTCAACAAAAATAAAACTAATGAGATGAACCAAAAAACAAACCACATCGAAAGGATGTATCTAGATGATTAAATAATTTTTGTTCTTGCTGTTTTAACATAGTTCACAGGGTGTTTCAAACTTTCATCCAAAATGTCAACATTTTGTTTTCCCTCATTATAATTAACAGATGGGGAGTTTCATTTTAATTTAGAAAGAGATATTAAAGAAGTCCAACTAATTTGTAACCACGTAAAAATCATCAAAATCGGCCCATTAAAATAAAATATATTAACCTTCAAAATACATCAAAGTTTAAGGTGCCCATTTTCGTGCCGGTGAATGCATTTCAAAAACTATACATTTAGTCATATACTTTTCTAATAAAACAAACCTTTATTTTTTACTAGAATCAAAAATCAATTAATATATAGGGTGTTCCATTACAAAAACATAACTTTGATGTAACTTTTTGGGGACACCTGTAAATCATAATTTTAGAAAATATTTTAAATTGACTTACATATAAGCTCAGAAAATTTCACTTCAATACAAACTTTGTTCTCCTTGCAAAAACCGCGTCGTTTATAACGCGCCACCCTGTCTCATTCAGTTTCAATCAAAATTTCAATGATTAAATTTAAGTAGAATAGGTATAGCTTATGGGTAGATTATTGAAATTTCAATAAATTTACTTAGCAAAAGAATTAAAAAAATCAAAATATTAAAAAGGAAATAATTAAGAGTTTACTAAAATTACTAAAATAAAAAATTAAAAGCAACGAAAAAAAATGGGTAAGCATTTTAGTATTTTATCCATAAAACACAATACAGAAGGTTTCACATTAATACATTGACAGTAATTGAATTCCTAGGTAAAAGTCTCTGGGCACTCCACTATAAGGCTCTATTGACCTAGGCACCCAAACTTTTATTTTAAAAGCCGGCTAATGATATGCTGTCAGCAGGAGGTGAACCTGCGACCTATAGCGTGGTAGACGACAGCTATACCTTTACAAAACCGTGTTCACTCAACCTCGATCATTTCCTATATTAAAAACGATCTTCCTTGCATACGTAGCTATGTAATATTTATTTGTTTTTGTCGTTTTATCCTCTAAATAACATTATCTTTGTTTTAAGATAAGTTACTAGGCTATTATAAGATCGTTAGTTTTTATCGCACCAATGAAAATAAATTAGAAACAATATTTAAACAATAAATTCTTAACTCTATCGACTTGCCCCAGATCTCCACGGATCATCGGAGTTAATAAATCTCAATGAAATAAAAATAAAAATATAAATGTATACGATCTGGCGTATTGTT